TAATTTATGCATTTAGCAGACGCTTTTATCCAAAGCGACTTACAGTGCATTCCGCAGGAACACTATATATATATATATATTTATTTTTCTCAGTTAATATTGCATTATTTCAAGTAATGCAAATGTTTTTATGGTTTTACTGTAGTTTTAGTGTAATTATTATAATAACCCTGTCATTAGCTTCAGTAATTGATGCTACTTTAAATTGTTCTGTCAGTTGTCAGTATTTTTGATTCTAAAATTGTAGTTTTAAAATCGTCTCTGAATTTCTTTATTAATTCTTTAAATGAATGGATCTCATTATCTGAAATGTTTGTTGCAAACCAATTTCCCAGAAGTGAGTTAAATCTGACAAAACCTCTGTTTGAGGACGTCAAACAAATGTTATAAAAGGAAGTAAATACAGTGTTTTTTCATTGTTAACATGCAGAACGTTTTCTGACAGATTATAGTATTTATAACTAGCTGAATATGTCAAATATAATAGCGGTCAGGTGAATGTGTGTGTGGTGTCTCACTAGCGTCCTCTGCTGGATTCTGTTGAATCGCACTCACGCTCGTCTGTTGTTTCGCAGTTATGCACAGAACACGACGTCCCAGGATTCATCAAATACAAGGTGTTTGACGCCAAACGTGAGTCTAGTTTCCAGCATTGACACTGAGCTGATGTGTGTTCAGTCGAGCTGCTTTGAGCTGATCATGTGTCTGTGTCTGGATCCGCAGCCAGCTCAAAGACCATCTCTGGCCTGCTGGAGTTCGACAGTAAGACTCACGCCGTGGAGGTTCTGACGGTCCTCAACCACTATCAGATCCGGATCCCCAGTGAGTGACCACGCTCCTGTCCAGCCACGCCGTCAGAGATATCAGACTTCACTGTGGTCGTCCAGAAAACATGATAAAACATTCTTGTGCACAGTCTTCAGTCTTCAGTCTGAACAGTTTTTTTAAATATCATGTCATCATCCTGTTCAAAAGCTCTCGATGCCTCGTGTTTTCTTCTGGAGCGCCGGTGCTGTTTAAAGCTTTTGTATTAGGTGCATCCGAGTCCCTCAGTTATTTTTTGTCTGATCTCTTATTTTGGTCAAATCATGAACATTTAGCAGATTCTGTAGTCGTTTGAGCGAGCGTTTGTTTCTGTGCTGACGGTAACGTGTTGATCATGTGTTCTTGTTGTGTTTCAGACGGTTCAAACCCGTACACACTGAAGCTGTGCTTCTCCACCTCCTCACACCTCTGAGCCGGAGCGACCGACACCATCGTCTTCATCTTCATCATCACCACCTCCCCTCAGACCCCACTCGCCCTCGGGTTTAGTGCTCTTTAGTTATTCATCTGTGATCTGATCAAACCAGGAAACACACACTCACACACTCACACACACACACACACACACACACACACACACACACACTCTCTCACACA